AATTAAAGGGGGGCATAAGGAAATTTCAGAGACAATTAAGGACCTATTGAGTAAAGGAATAATAGAAAGGACACAATCCTTCCATTATAATAGCCCAGTGTGGCCAGTTAAGAAGCCAAATGGGAAATGGAGACTGATAGTAGACTATAGAAATTTGAACAAGTTGACTCCCACCATGCCGGGTTCCTTGCCCGATATCGAGAGTATATATGCAGAAATTAGAAGCTTTTCACCTACATGTTTTTGTGCAATAGATTTAAGTGATATGTTCTTCGTGGTACCTCTTCACAAGGATAGTAGAGAAATGACAACTTTTACATGGAACTAGGTACAATACCAGTTCACAAGGGTGCCGCAAGGATATAAAAATAGGCCAATCATAGCACATAACGCTTTACAGTTTTCATTAGGGGAATTACAGTTACCAAGAGACACTAAAATATGGACGTATGTTGATGATATTTTATTAGCTGGTAGGAGTGAGGATACCCTAACTACTGCCAAAGATATGTTAGTGAAGACCCTAGTGGAGGCATGATGGAGAATAAATCCAGAAAAGATTCAGGGACCACGCACATCTGTAAAATATTTAGGCATTGTATGGAATGCTAATGGTCCTACAGTGCCACCAGCCGTAATAAACAAGATAGAGAACCTGGCATCACCTAAAAACAAAGCTATGGCACAACAAGCGATAGGGATTTTAGGATATTGGAGACTACACATTCCATATCTGCAGGTGTTGTTGGCACCAATATATAAAATAATAAGGAAAGCATCAGATTTTGTATGGACGGATGCACAGGAAACTGCATTTCATCAGGCAATTGAGTATATAAAAACATTTTCCCAATTGTATGTGCCACAGCCGGGAGAAGTGATTATCCTAGACATTGTGTTTGCCAATGATTTTGGTAACTGGGGCATTTATACAAAGAGTCACGGGCAGACAAAGCCGGGTGGATTTTACTCTAAACGTTTTCCGTATGCAGAAAATAAGTATTCGTTCTTTGAAAAAACCGTTTGGACGGCTTATTGTGCTTTTCAGTCGCTAGGGTTCAGTATAACCGATAGGCAGGTAATGATGAGATGCCCAATGCCTATACTAGATTGGGCTAAGATGCCAGATAATGCATTAACAGGGTTACCAATTGAAGGGAAGGTAATGCAATGGAAATGGTATATAAATAACCTAGCTCAGGATACATCAATGATGGGGAGTTCAAGAATTACGAAATTAACTGAAAGCGTGAACGCCCAGCCTATGATACCTGTCCCGGTAGCGATAGTGGAACCTAAAGTAGCACCTATTGGAAAATGGGGAGCATCCGAGACACATGCTAATGCATGGTTTATGGATGGCTCCAGTGCAGTGATAGGAAAGAAAACAAAATGGAAAGCAGTTGCGTTTAGGCCCCGTGATGGTAAAATTCTATCTAAAGAAGGTTCAGATGATTCTGCCCAGTTGGCTGAACTTTTAGCAGTCCACCTTGTGGTGGAAGAATCCATAAAGGAGGGAATAAAATATGTACATATATTTTCAGATTCATGGGCGGTGTGTAATGGTATCACAGTTTGGTCAGCAAAGTGGAAATTAACTGATTTTACGATAAATGGTAAAGATGTATGGGGAAAAGATACATGGAAATGGTTGGCGGAAGCTCCAATCCAAATCCTGATTACTCATGTGGATGCCCATACAGGACGCCAGGATGATGTTTCTAAGAATAATGATATCGCGGATAAATTGAGCAAAATTCCAGTACAATTAACTGCTATTAAGTTGAGAAATCCAAACCAATGGGAGGTAGATAAAGCCTCTGATACAAAGCTAACTTTAAAACGTAGACCTAATTGGCATGTAGTTAAACCCCCAATGGAATCTGATATCACATTGGATGAAATCAGACAAATTCATGCGAATCTTGGACACATTGGAACACATGGTCTGTACCAATGGTTCGACTCTAGAAACATTAAGGCGACCTGGAGTAAATGTAAGCAAGCGATTGCTGGCTGCGAAAAATGTGCGGCCAGTGGGAC